TCCTTCAGTACATTTTATAATATTTTCAATTTTAATCACTTCATTAGTTTTTGTAAGACAATACGCATCACTAAATTGTAAATGAAAAAATGTATCTGGTGTTCGAAGTTTCTTATACTGCTTTCCTTGAGAGTTTAGAATCAGTCCCGTTTCATGAGGTTGTTCAAATAATAATTTATTTCTTGCAGAGTAAGAAAGGCGAGGCATGACTGCCTTTTCCATCACACGGCAAACTATTTGGGAAAGTGTCTTCCCTGGTGCATGCAGCATATGCTTCATGTTTCCCAAGAAACTCTCAAATTTAAATGCACTAAATGCTTCAATATGTCCATGTAACAAACAATCCGAAACTAAGTGTTTTAAATGATGTACATTGTATACCACAAAAGCCTGTCCATAAATGTTTGAACTGTGCTCTATAAACGTTCTAAGCAATCTATCTGCATCAACAGCATATTCTTTTACCAAAACAGGGTCGACCAAAATTCGAATAGCGCAGGCAAATAACAAAAAATTCTGATAAACTTCAGAGTCAAGTTCCCGGAAAATTAAGAAGCCATCATATAACAAAAGCCTTCTAAATTCCGTACCTTTATAGTATTTCCAATCACTTAATCTACGTGGCCTTCTAGCAAAGTCAGAGGGAAAGAAAGACCGTAGAAAATTAGAAAGATTGTCTATTAGACGAACAACATCGCCACGCAGTTTGTATTTACTAGCCTTAGCACAGTACAGCATTGAAACAATTCGTTTAAAGATTCCTATATATAACAAATGAAAAGGTTCCAATGGAAATTGAGTTAAAGGTTCTAGATGAAGTCTCGTAATTAGTGGAGTTACTCCTTTGTGATATTCTTTATGAGTTTGCTGACGAACAGATTCATTTGTCCGCAAAGGTGCTTCCTCATGAGGAGGATATGTCATTCGATTGTTGAACCAGACACCTTTAACAGTACACCTGTATGACAAATAACGAACATTAATTAAAATATTGAAAACTTAATTTTAATCACAAAGGGTGACCCCAGGATGTTCCCCAATTTTTCCACACTCGAATTTGTGGTCATGTTTAGCATCAAATAAAACATCTTGTTAAGCTGATTACAAATATGTCGGTACCAAAGTGTATGCCCGTTATGGGCATTTTTGCGGTCACTCTTTGTTTTAAAATAATCAGTAAAAATTATTTTCTCATATCTACATTTTATATTCAAAAAATATAATAACTTAAAAATATGGGCATAATTAAGCCTTGAAATCTCTGCAGTTCCGATTTTTTATCTCATTTTTACAGTACAAAATCAAACTTAAAAGATTTGATGTATATTATTACACTCAATTTGAAATGACAGCGCACTATATATTCTACTACTATAAAATATTCGCGTGGCTTTAAATTGAAAAAATGCTCATTCAGTGATATATACATACATATATACACTCCCTTTCGCAAGCAAATTTACTGCCATGTTGGTTGACTTGTTTCAACCATGTTCTAGCAGGTGCATCGGCAATTACGTTTCTAATTTTAAGTTTGTAACGTCTATTTTTAACACTAAAACCATTTATTAACTCCAAACTTTCATTGATAAAATCCTCCAAGTAGGCATCAAGATCTGGTGGACATTTAGTTTCTCCGCACCATATAGCTATAATAAAAACTTCATTTCTACCAGCTATACATCCAGCAATTGGCCACAAAATATGTCGTATACTTTTATAAGGCGAGAAACCATAAAAAAAAACATCAATTTCAATTATATCAGATAATGATTCCAATATTTCTTCGCACAGTACAGTTTTGAGGCCAGAGAGAATACCATAATACCAAAATTGTCCACCGCCTTCTAATTCTCTGATTAATGATACCGTGCTTCTAGGAGTGTTCAAGAGTGTCTGTGCACACCAAGGAAGGAATTTATGATTATGATTCCTTAATATTGTCAGAAGGTCAGACAGTGCATTAAGCGCTATATTTCTTTTCAAAGCCCACACAGTAAGGTCTTGAATTAATTTGAAATCAGAATTTGCAAGTTTACAATCGCTTACAAATTGTTTACCATTTTCATTTTCCTCGCATAATGTATTATCAGTAGAAAGTGTGATATTACTTGAACAAGAATTATTATGATTTTGTAATTCTTGCCATTCGTTATAAGTCTCATCATATATATAGTCGTTTTGAAACTCGCAATCATTGATATCTTTAATAATCGAAGCATCATCTATTTCATTTATTCTTCTTTGATCATGAACTGCAAAACATTCTTCTATTGTATCAATGGTTTCTATCTGAGGAGTCTGTGCTTCTTGTAGGTCTTCTTGTGTAGCGAACTGACGAATATAATTACTTGGATGATTATGATCCTCGGGCATAAAATCTATATTAACAAATAATAAATAGCATAATATCATTATAACTTACATTGGAAGAACAAAAATCATTATAATAACTATAATAGGTATACCATTAGAATGTTTATAGTTGCTCATCACATCATTACAAAAACTGATACTTTTATTAGTATTGTCCTCATGTATAGATTGCTGTTCTGTGTTACAATTCTGTTTATTGAAATCATTATAAGTACTCTTCTCAACGAGATGATCAACATATTCTTCCTGTACTAAGCTATTGAGATTCAGATCACATTTTCTCTTCAACTTTTTCCATTCTTTATTCTGATCAATTTTTCTCTTCAACTTTTTCCATTCTAAACTCTACAAATTGCAAAAAATATAATATTAAATATTATTGCAGCAAATATTATCAATAAAAAGCATATAAAGATGCTGCAGATATATAACATATAATGAGCAGAATTTCAAACAAACCTTTTTATACATTGCAATGGAAAGATTTAATTTTTTTCAGTTTCGAAATAGATATACTTATAGGTTATATACTTCTATCACCGTGTCTCCACATCAACTGGGGTCCAGCTTTTTTACACAAATCTTGCACCGTACGTATTGAAAGATATCAAAATATACGAAGGTTATGTATAGATGCCGATAGAACATGAGAACTACAGAACATATTAAAAACTTAGAGTCCGTTCCGTTTCACGCATGATGCGCGCATTGTTTATAGTAAACGTTACGTATGCTATAGATAAATGCGCGCATATGCGTGAAACGGAACGGACCCATAGACATATATTTTATTAACATAGGCGCTCGCGGGGAGCGCGCTATCAGCTGCTATCAGCGCTATATGTTGCGTCGCGTCGCGTTGTGTGCTCCCGCGTGCGTGCACCGGTTGTGAAGGAGAGTGGACAGAAAGTGACTTTACGCAGCGGATCTCCCAAGAAGAAGAGGTACCTCACGGACAGTGTTTCGATGCGGCACGCTCGGCTTCCAGGCCTCGCGAACAACACGACGCTCTAGGTATTTCCTCTCCCCCTCTCTCTCTCTCTCTCTCGCCGAGATAACCTCGCCAGTTGTTGATACCGCGTTGCGGAGATCAAACCACGTGCCCGAGCGTAAGCTCTCTCGTCTGTGACATGCGGGATTATTGACGAGCTCGTCAATCTTTCTTTAGCGGTGTGTCGCTGGAAAAAGTGCGAGACTGAGTGTCTTGACTTAGATGAAATTAAGTGACTTCGATATAATCACATCGCAATCCGAATTGTAAATTTTAGCTTTTACTCTATTTTGCTATACTCATGCAAAGATGAAAGAGGCAAAAAAAATGAGAGAAAGCAGGAAGAAGAGTATTACTCAAAATATTGGTATGTGTACGCAAATATAACTCTATAATTTAAATCATTTTCTTGACAGATTGCATTGGTACAAAAGCGGAATATACGAACGCAACGTCGACGAGCCACCTCGAGAATAAACTCTCTTAAGGTTCTCGCGGCACGCACCGATTTGAGATCGGAATTAATACACCGAAATTCGCACGAATATAGCCACGAGTACGACAATAAAGAACTTAAATATAAAAAAACGTGAGTATATTCACACAAATTCCTCTGCCATATTCTATATCTATATCAATCATGACGTTGATTTTATTCGGATTTCAAATTACATATAAAATTAAAATTTAAATCTTTGATCGATATTCCAGTAGCCAAAAACTCGTCTTTCGTCGTCGAGGCTCTCGCCGGATTGGCTTCTACTCCGAAGATTTTAGTACGGTGGCTCTGAGAAATGTGTCGGAAACAAGCGTGTCCACGGATAAATTGCAACCATATAAAGACAATGTTGATATTGGTTAAAGGAAGATGGCACGTTCAAGCTAGATTGGTCGAACCTGTCGCCGAGAGTATCAATAATGGTGATAGTTATATATTGGTGACAAAATCAGAGGTAATGATAATAATAAAAGTAGAATATATAGAGAACATATATAATACATTATATAGCCGATGTAAAACATTTACATTTATTCTTTACTGTTCTATTTTCTTCACTAATCGCAAACAAAACTGACTCGACGAATTACAGGTTTTTAACTACATAGGGAAATATAGCAACATTATCGAGAAAACTCGTGCCGTTGAAATCGCATCAAGTATTCAAGAAAAGGATCTGGGCTGTCAAGCGATCGAAGTAATCACTATAAATGACGATAAATTGACTTGCTCGAGGAATCAAGTTGAAAAATTTTGGAGTTATCTTGGTGTGGTCGACAACGAAAAATTATACAGTACGTTATTTTCCTTTCTATTTTCGCAGCGTGCGACGATATTTTTGTAAATCGGTACGTGTGTACTACATCAATAGTGTATTATAATAATATCATTGCAGTTGTCGATGCTGGCCATCCTGACGAAGACAAATTGTACGAATCTGTCATTATTGATACAAATATGGTGTTCGAATTGAAAGATGAACAATTAGTGTCGCACGAGAAATTCTGGGGTACGCTCCCAAAGATAGAAATGCTCAATAAGAACAAGGTAATTGTAATTTTTTGTTACCGTAAAATCGTATGTAATAAGAAAAATATTCTCGCACAATTAGTTTCATGAAGAAATTGCAATTTATTCTTCTGATCTTATTTTTCTGGCATTTGTCTATTTTAATTTTAAGTTTCATTTTTACACGTATAATTTACAGTTTTCAAAACATCTCAATTTTGCGCATGTCTCAACAATAAATTTTTTAATAAATCCACCTCTCTCTCTCTTTCTCTCTCTCTCTCTCTGTTTCTAAAGTCAAAATTTTTTTGGATATTAGATTGGTTTCAATTTTGATAACGTATATTGAGAGAAATAGAAAAAAGTATAGTAGAAACAAATCGTTCATCTAAAAAATGAAGGCTTTTTTGTAAGAATATATCTCGCGCACATATAATAAACGTAATTCATGCAAGGATTTATGATAAATTATTACGCTAAAAACAATTTTTGGAAGATTTGATTGAATATGCTCAAAATTGGAAACTGTTTCAGAAACTGCCCGCCGTGACTTATAATTTGACTTGAGTTTTTTTTTCGTGTGCGCTCGGAATACATCGTGTGCGTTCGAAACTGCTCGGGATCACGTGTTACGGACGTGCAAACCGCGCGGGTTCGAGCAACAGTCGCTGGTCGCGTGTTTCAATTGTTTCCATTTTTTCATCAGTAGAATCATCAGTAGTGGTGTTGTAATTTAAGGTTAAATATTGTGATAATAATGAACATGAATGCAAAAAATATTGTGAAAGCACCTGCGGACAAGCCGGTGAGTAGATAAGAAGACAAAATGTGCGTGTGTGTGAGATAGAAAGTGAGTGAGTGAGCGAGCGAGTGAGAGAGAGAGAGAGAAAAACAGAGATAGAGAGAGAGAGAAAATATTTATAGACATATAGAAATATCTGGACACAACATATAATAAAATATTTCTTTGGACGAGGAAAGAGAAACTTTTATTGAGGGATTAGGGAAAAATCTATTAACCCTAGAGAGTCTTTCTGGGGTGATACGTCACCCCACGCGAAATTCAAATTGCGCCCCTGCCTTAGGAAGGTTAGTTTTCATATCGAGACCCTAACTATAATTCAGTTTAGTCATCCGGCAGTCGATCTCCGTCATTCAGCGAGTGCGTTAGATCCGTGCAGTAGCTGAAAACCGAAAAAGAAAATTGTTTGGGGTGACGTATAATCTCCTTTGGCCGTTTACGTTCAACATTTCACGTATGAAAAAATTCATAAAGACTCTCTAGGGTTAATGCTATCTTGATTGATCAAAATCCTCATTTCTCCTTAAGCTTTAATTCCGGAAATATGATCGGTTCAGATATTCTTACGCCTATGTAATAATATGTATCTTATTGCAATATGCTGTACTCGAGTTGCCTGCGGATGATGCAGATGACTTTGAGTCAATTGAATATTATGCCGTGCCAGCCTGTACTGCATGGTTAGAGAATATCAGTATTAAAATGAGTAAAATAAGTGGCAAACAAGCTACATTTGCAGGTGCATGCAAATGGCCTGATGATGAATCTAAGTTAAGTGATTATCTAGAAAAAAAGAAAAAGCCAGCAAATACTTGGATTACATATAAAAATGTAAAAATTCTGAAGTTTTGTAGTATGTATCTTATTTTATGTATGTTTCAATGTTATGTGTGCCATAATTTGTACTAACAATCTATTAAGTTCCGTTTTTTCTTGTCTTGTTTTGTTGAAAAGTTTGCATTT